TTTATTATTTTCCGCATTTGATCTATTATGATATTGATGTTGATTGTATGTGTTTACTAATCGGTTTGACAATAGAATAAATCGGACGCCTTGTACAACTCAATAGGGATGAACTGTTGTTGTTCTTATCGGGTTGTACGGCGGTTGTCTACGTGGCTCGGATGCGGTCCGGGGCGTGACAACAACGCATGATGCTAAGTCTTGGCGTTCAATGTCTAATGCAGGCATGTCTCATGTAAGGGAGAGGTGTGGAGCTCCTCGTCTGATGCTGATGAAAAACGAGAAGCTTCCCCTTTTTTGCGATGAGAATCTTGCCAAGAAGAGCAAAGGTGTAAACTGCTACTCAGGCCCGGTAAGGGGGAGATAACCCAATCGGTGAATCCTCGCTCTCTGTTCGTTTCTACATAGGTATGGTAGGTCGGAGAAGCGCGCTTGTTGCCATGTCCCGACCTTTGTTTTCTCGTAGGTATGGTAGGTCAGAGAAGAGCATTTGCTGCCCTGCGCTGACCTTCATTTCCTCGTAAGTATGTCAGGTCGGAAGAGCGCACATGCTGCCCATTTCCTCGTAGGTATGGCAAATCAGAGAAGCACATTTGCTGCCCTGGATGCGACGAATGATGCTAAGTCTCAGCCTTTGACATCTGATGCATGTTCATCTAATGTCGGGGAGAAGCACAGAGCTTCTCTTCCTGATGCTGGGGAGAAGCATGCAGTTTCCCTGCCTAATGTCGGGGAGATGCTCAAAGCTTCTCTGCTTGATGCTGGGAAGAAGCACGTACCTTCCTTGCCTAATGTCAGAGAGATGCTAAGAGTTTATCTACCTGATGTCGGGGAGATGCTCAGCTTCTCTGCCTGATGGTGGGGAGAAGCATGCACCTTCCCTGCCTAATGTCGGGGAGATGCTAAGAGCTTCTCTGCTTGATGCTGGGGAGAAGCACACATCTTCCCTGCTTCACGAAGAACAATTTTGTCGAGAATTGTAAGGGCATAAAACTGACCATCAGTAGAGAGACAGGACTAGACCAGCAAAGTCTGGCTTGCCCCGCATTCCAGCCGAAGCATGTAAGATATCAGCAAAAGTTTGCCATTTGCTGAAGGAATGGTTGAGACCAGGATTGCGATGAAGAAATAGTCTTCATCTGTGAGGACGATGGGTAAGCCCGGTCATAGAATCAGGACGACGACGTTTAGTCCTTTCGTGATGCATGTGAAGCAGCAGTCATCATCCAATTGAAAGAGGATATGATCGATCTTGAAATGAAAATGATGGCGCTGAGCCGGTACTGATGAGGACATCAGCTCGTATGATGATTATGAATCCGTAGCACCGGTCATCATCCAAGTGAAGGAGAATCTGACTGGACTTGAAATGGGAATGATGGCGTTGAGCCAGTGCTGATGGAGATGATGGTTTGCGGTTCGATCATAAATCTGAAGCAATGGTTATCATCCAAGTGAAAGATGATGTGACCGATCTTGAAATTAGAATGGTGGTGTTGTTGGTTAAGCTTGAGGTTTCACGCACGCCTACAAGGTGATGTGTATAGCAGAGTCTGGAATTAAACTCACGGTGTTATTTGATCTTCAAGCTTTCCCATGATGGATGTAAGATTCCAGACTGAGAGCTGTGCTTGGAGGAGCTCCCTGATGCAGGTCAAGGGAGCGATGCTTGGACGAATCCTTGATGCAGGGGAAGAGAGCGGTGCTTGGACGAATCCTTGATGCGGGGGAAGAGAGCGGTGCTTGGACGAATCCTCGATGCACGGAAAGAGAGTCAGTGAGAGAGTTGTTTTGCAGGTCCGCTCATTCAAGTCGGTGATAGGACAATTGCACATACTTGTTTAGGTCACGAGGAGCCCAAGGTGGCTCGACCATCTCAATGGTCAGAGTGATGACATGTGATTGTACTCGGGCTTCCAAGCTATGCATCGTTCTGTGCCTCTCCAACATTGTGAGAGCATTGCTCGATCGCATGTGGTTTGGAAGGATGGACGATTTCGCTCCGTTACACAAACTTGATGAGATACTAGGATGGCGAGCTTGACGGAGAAGATGCACAAGTGATGGAATCTCCGTCTTGTGATTGCATGTGTGATCGACCATGATTCATCTGTAGGCGTGAGAGACTCGAGTTCAGAGTTGGGGTTGGCTCTCGCTCGTCGATGAGCCCATACAGAAGTCATGCACTGCCATGCGCGTACAATCTCAATCAGGAGGTAGCCCTGCACGACCTTGACTTGGAGATAGCCACACACGAACTTGGCCTGGAGATAGCCCCGCACGAACTTGACTTGGAGGTAACCTTGCACGAACTTGGCCTAGAGATAGCCCTGCACAAACTTGGCTTTGAGATAGCCCCACATGAACTTGGCATACGATAGCCCTGCACGAACTTGGACTGGAGATGAGTGTGCGTGACTCGGAATGGATGGTGAGGTGATGATCACTGGCCTCATCATACCATGTACTTAGTTTGAATCTCGAAGCTTGTTAAAGAAGAATTGTGTGGTTGATATTGAATTGATAAAGTGTGAATAAAGTAAGAATGAATTGTAATCATCCAAATATTACCAAATATAGTACAAGATAAACTTAATTGGACGGGTAAAACGGGACAACGTTAGGAAATAGAGAGAGTATGAGAATTGAGAACCTACAATATTGAGCGACCAATTTCTATCTGTCAGCAGTGGCGTACCCAGAGATTTGTGAGAGCGAGGGCACACTAGACACTAAGCTTAGTCTATAATAAAAACTTCGAGCCCAAAACGGGGCACTGGTTTTACCTCAAGTACTACTAGTGAATTTTCGGATCCGAAGCGGGGGCACGTGCCCCCTAGCCCCCTTAGGTCCTCCACTATCCGTCAGAGTTGATGTATATTCTTTAAGAGAATTCGGGAACAAAAATTAGTTAATAGAAATTACTCCAAATAGGACTAAAACTATGGCAAAAAACTCAAAATAGGACTTACTATGTTTTTCTTTTCAAAATAGGACCAAATTAGTCCTATTGGAAACATACCTATTTTTTCCTTCCATTCTTACCCTTCCTTTAAATATGAGTTAATTAAATGTTTAATTCATAATAAATTCGAAAAAAAATAAAAAATTCGTAGAAAAATAATTAAAAAATTTATAAAATATGTATAAAATAAAAAATTAAAAAATTTGTTTTTTTAATTTTTTTTATTTTTTTTAAAAAAATAAAAAATAGTAAAACTCCATTAAAAAAATTTAATAAAAATATGGATGCGTTTCCCACCGCCTGTACTACCTCCCTGCACCACCATCTCCGAACGGTGAAAAAAATTCCATTTTTCCTAAAAACTGCCATTTTTCCTGAAAATGCCAAAAACATGGCATATTTCTCTTTGAGAATGCCAATATTTTCATTATTTTCTGTCATAAATATGGCATTCGTAATGAACTTGGCATTTTTTTCCCGGTGACTGGAGGTGGTGGTGCGAAGGCGGCAGAGGCGGCGGTGAATTTTATTTTAATTTTTTGAGTTTTTAATTTTTTTTTTTTTAAAAAAGTTATTTTTTTTTATTTTTTGAAAAAAAATAAATAAATTAATTATTATTATCGAAATATTTTTATTTGTTTTTTAGTATTTTTTACGAATTTTTATTATTTTTAATTATTTTATTATGAATTAAAACATTTCAATAGCTAGAAGGGTATATTTGTCCAAGACACACATAATTAATCCTATGAAAACATAGTTTAGTTTTTGGTCCTATTTGTGCAAAGTGAGTGACTTCTAGTCCTGTTTTGATAATTAACCCATTACTTAAAAGAAATTATACTAAATGGGACTAAAACATGGTGAAAACTCCAAAATAGGACTTCAAGTTTTAATTTGCCTAAATCAGGCTAAATGGGACTTCAGATTACATTTTTACCCCTAATCCCTAAATCACCTTTTCCCCAATCCCTCTACATCGATCACACCTCTTCTTCGATCGCACCTGCGATTGCAATGAAGCAGTTGCCTGCGATTACATCGATTGTGACTCAGCTGCCATGGACGCAACCCAACCGCCATCATCGCAGCTGTAATTTCTTCCCCGGCTGCCATGGATGCAGCTCAACCACCATCATCACAACTGTAATATCTTCCCCAGGTATTCTTCCTCCTCCGCATCTTCTTCTTTTTCTTCTTCTCCTCCTTCTCCTTCTCCTTCTCCTTCTTCTTCTTCCCCTCTGTTTTGTTCTTCTTTTAAATTTCAGATTATTTTAGACATTGTAATTCGAAAATGTCATCTTTACTCGAAAATGACATGTTTTAATAACTGTAAATGTCATCTTTCTATTCCAAAATGCCAACATTATTTTAACATCAGACTACACAAGATTTCATTTTTCAAAAATTGACATGTTTTAAGAATGCCACTTAATATGCATAATAAAAAAATAATGACAGTTTTGTATAGAAACGTGGCATTCTCAATATGTCATTTTCAAATATTGTAATGACATAAAAGTGTCATTTTGTAAAAATACCCAATAATTATGACATTCTCTTATTCAAAAGTGTCATTTTCTGTAATTGATAACAAGAAATTCAAGTTCAGGTATATCTTCATTTGAAACTTTCAAAAATCAAAATTTTATTTAAAATCTTATTGATAAAAAATTTAAAAAAAAACAGAGAACTAGGAAGAAAAAGAAGAGATTACCTACCTAATAAGTTTTTAAGCTATGATCCTGCTTTGTGATTTTGCTGCAGGAGGAGGTCCTGCACTTATGATTGATGGTGGTTGGTGTCTCGACGGAGGGTGGCAGACGGAGGTTGTGGTTTGATTGGACGGCAATAATGTTCTGTGGCAGCACCGCTAGAAGCACCAACAACGACGGAGACCGTTGTGCATCGCTAGTGTGCATCGCAATAGTTGCTCGACGGAGCATTAGACTTTAATTAAGGGTAGTTTTGGTAGATTACTTCCTTTTAGTCCCATTTAGGTAAATCTCTCATTAGTTAACGAATGAATTCTGCTGTTCGGACTATGCCTACCAATGGAGAGCTGAGTAACAGGAGCATAAATATAGATGCAGGTCGGCTCTGTAATAAATCAGCAGCACATCCACTCCCTACAGCCGGTTGGGTCAAATCCATACGGAGCACTCCGTATTTTTTATCCATCTACGATAACGGACACGTGTACGTTCTCCTCAGATCCACAGAAACCCTCCGCTTAAGCCTCTCTCTGCTTCGGAAATCCATCTTCCGCCACCATCTCTGTTTCCTCACTGGAAAAAAGCTTATTATCATATCCACTTTTCACGCATTCATCCTCTTCTTCGCCGTCCTTACGGTGAGGTTTTGTGACATGTCTTGAAGACGAGAGACCATAGAAATCATACGTTTCACTATATATCTATGAGCGCCTTTTATACAAGTTAAGCTTGACCCATTTTAGAACTCCAATAGAATGGAAATGGGTCGTTTTCATTTTGTTTGGTTTGTGATATCCTGGATTTTGTTTTCCCCCGGAAAGTTTAGGGGTTTTCTTGCCTTGTGGCCTGTGTCGATTTAGGCGCTGTGATGTATATATTATATTGGGCGTGTTTTGAAATATAATTTGTTGGAAAAAGTGGCGAAAGTGAGTTTGAGAACGGCGTCGGACGATTCGGCGTCGGAAATCCATCTTCCGGCCGACATAGACTGGGAGATGCTGGATAAATCTAAGTTCTTCTTCCTCGGGGCGGCGTTATTTTCCGGCGTATCGGCGACGCTCTACCCGGTAGTGGTGCTAAAAACTCGGCAGCAGGTGGTGGCGTCTCAAATCCCTTGCCTGAAGATGGCCAATTCGATCTTGAAGAACGAAGGGTTCCGGGGATTTTACAGGGGATTTGGAACTTCCCTGGCCGGAACCATCCCGGCGCGTGCACTTTACATGGGCGCGTTAGAGATGACCAAGAGTAACGTAGGGAACGCCACCGTTCAGCTGGGGTTCTCCGATGCCACGGCGGCTGCCATAGCCAATGCGGCTGCTGGTCTGAGTGCGGCCATGGCGGCTCAGCTAGTGTGGACTCCCATAGATGTTGTGAGTCAGAGGCTAATGGTTCAAGGTGATGCGCTAGCTAGCTTTTGTTGTTGTTAATTACTACCATACACATTGACATTGAAAAATGAGCCATGCATTAATTACTCGTAATAATCTAGTCATATCAGTTAGTTATGGCTAGAATGACAGAATGTTTGAGTTTCAAGAGTTAATTCTCTTTTGATGCATGTAACCTTGTTTTGAATATATCGATCAGTCCTCTATCCTAAAATAAATTTCAATTCTTTCCTTTTCTTTGCCTCAACTCTAACTCATTTTTCATGTTTCACAATAAAGTTCAATTATTTTTCAGTTGATGAAGTATGTCAATCAAACTTCAACCATATTTAGACATGTTGAATTATTTCATCCATTAGCTCTAAAAAGTTAAGAGAATTTGATGAAATAAACTGTTTCATTATTTGGCATCTTTTAGGATTCGTAACTGAAGGAGGAGAAGTTGGGTTGAAGAGCTACAGTGGCGGAATAGACGCGTTCAGAAAGATAGTGTGTAGCTATGGAGTGAGGGGATTGTACAGAGGCTTCGGGATTTCAATCCTCACCTACGCCCCTTCCAATGCGGTATGGTGGGCCTCATACTCTGTGGCTCATAGAGTGTTATGGGGATTGATCGGCTGCCATGGCTGCAAGAAGGAGGAGAGCGGTTACACGCCGGACGGGAGGGCGCTAGTGGCGATCCAAGGGATGAGCGCCACCCTGGCTAGTGGCGTCTCCGCGTTGGTGACCATGCCGCTCGACACGATCAAGACGAGGTTGCAAGTGCTGGATGGGGAAGGGGCGGCTGCTGCAGAGAGGCGGCAGCCCACAGTGGTGGAGACGGTGAGGGAGTTGGTGAATAAAGGCGGGTTCCGCGCATGTTACAGGGGTTTAGCTCCCAGATGGGCTTCCATGTCTATGTCCGCAACCACTATGATCACTACCTATGAGTTTCTGAAGCGGCTGTCTACCAAAAATCAAGAAAGCATTGCTCGATAGAATCACGCAAGTGAAGCAGAAGGATAAATGAAGGTTTCTCTTTAACTCGCCTCAGAAAGGCTTTGCCTGATTGCAATAATTATATTCGTGGTCATAAATATACTACTAGTACAAAAATGCTCTTACCCCTATCTACTTCTACTCTAGTAGTCCTAAACTTTCGCTTTCCTTAAAATTTTGACAAGTTTGATCGGAAGGTCAAGCGGTTTGTCATGCGACTTCGGTCTTGCCTGCTTAAGACCTGCTCACTTGTTTAATACTACCTCCGTCCTTAATTGATTTGCAAATTTGACTTTTCTTGGTCTAACAGTTTCATTTTATTTGCTTAATTAGGATGCCAATTTTTAATTATATTCTAATTTGAAGTTTGCAACTTTGAAGAGATTTCAATGTAGTTTTTGAATATGTAAATTTTTTAATTAGTAAAAATTTAATTAATTATCAATTGAGAGGATTGACTTTTATTGTCGGTTAACCAAAAAATGTTGACTTTGTAAAACAATTTGGAACAGAGAGAGTAAATAAATTAGATTTGGACTTTTAGAAAATCTCGTTTGTCTAAGCAGGTCAAACACAAGATATATATATATATATATATATATATATATATATATATATATATATATATATATATATATATATATATATATATAGAGAGAGAGAGAGAGAGAGAGAGAGAGAGAGAGAGAGGACAATTCATGTCCAGCGTAACGGGAACTGCCGTCCGGCCGAGGATATTTCGGTCACCAATTGAGGTGACCGGCGGTCGGCGGCCAGGGGTGGCCGAAGGTTGGTGAAGGTGGCCGGCAATGACGGCTAGCGGCAGTGGCTGCAGGGCTGGGGAAGATGGATGGGGCTTGGGTACGGGTATATTTGGTCAAACATTAAAATTTCATATTCAAAACATGATACTCATATTTCATATTTTTTGCTGTGGGAGTTGTTGTTTCATGGTGGATACCATATTGGGATGCCCCTATTTAATTGTCCCATAACTTATTTGGTAAAGTTTGTGTGGCTCAAAATCATTCTTACTTTATTCTTACTTTATCAATTACTATCAACCACACAAACTCACTTTTCTTAAAACTCGTGCCACCCTCTTGTGGGACATTTAAAAGGGGACGGAGGGAGTACTTGTTAAAGTATTTGTCACACACCTAAAAGCTATAAACAATAAAACATTATATAAGATTTTGAGCTATTTCTTCTATCAGGTTGACCTTTTAGGATGAAATTCCACGTCTTAACATGGTATCAGAGCCAAGTCCGGTTGTGGTTTGACTGCTTGTTTAGCACCCACGATTAAGGGTAGCTTGTGAAGTGTCTTTTGGCCCATTTATACACTCTGATATTATCCAGTCCGATTCGGGCTGAGGGTGTGTGTTAAAGTATTTGTCTCACACCATAAAATTATAAACAATAAAACATTTTATAAGATTTTGAGTTACTCCTCCTAACAGGTTGATCTCTTAAAATGGAATCCTAAATCTTAACAATACTTCATTCTAAGATATGAGTTGTTTGGACATTTTTTGTGATTGGAGCTATTTTTCTTGGAGTTTCAAGTTTTGTTTGTGCTCACTGGTGACTGTTATTGTTGCAAAATATTAATGATCTTAAAATACAAGATGAGTGTTGGATGGTGAAGCAATATCATATTTAAAACATGATTGCGACTTAGATGTGCATATCTCGTTTAATGTGGAAGAGGAGGCATAAAATAGAGGGAGGGGACGAGGTAAATAGATGTAAATTAGAGTCAAAAAATGATGTAATACTTTTTTGTTTTATAAGAGTAAGATTTTTGAAAGAGCAACGCCAATTAAGTGTACAAGTGTGGATGATTCATTTGATCGGTTTGCCTCATGTTTTCTCTATTAAGAATCCGTTTTGTGACACTGAAATTGGCTGAATCGGTTGATTCTGTTGAAATTTATGAAATTATGGTTGAAGTGCTTGGATAGGACGATTCTGCTATATTATGGAGAAAATATTTAAAATATATGGAGTATTTATTAATAAAATAAAAAAAGTTATATGAAAAAGAGCTAAAATGGTCAATTACAACAATTTCAGCCAATTCAGTCAGAAAAGTAATTTCAACCTTGGTTATTTAGTGTTGGGCCGCGGGTATGCGGTGCTAGCAATCTGCCAGCCTGCCGGTGCAATCGAACCGTGTGGCGCTTCACTTGTGCTATAAAGAGGGAGGAGCGTGCTACACTATTAGCGATTGTTTTTAATGTAGCGGTAAGCGCAATGATCCACAATTGGTATGAGAGTCAAGGTCACGGGTTTGACCCCGCACAACATATGTTGCGCAGTTGAGCCTGGCAAGTGCTGGGGGGCGATTGTTGGGCCGCAGGTATGCGGTGCCACCAATCTGCTAGCCTGCTAGTGTAATCAAACCGCGTGGCGCTTCGCTTGTGCTATAAAGGGGGAGGAGCGTGCTACACTATTAGCGATTGCTTTTAGTGTAGCGGTAAGCGCAACGATCCACAATTGGTATCAAGCCAAGGTCACAGGTTCGACCCCCGGCAACAGCATGTTGTGCAGTTGAGGCTGGCAGGTGCTGGGGTGGGAGATCGTTGGGCCGCGGGTATGCGGTGCCACGAATCTGCCAGCCTGCCGGTGCAATCGAAACGCGTCGTACTTCGTTTGTGCTATAAAGGGGGAGGAATGTGCTACACTATCAACGATTGCTTTTAGGGTACGGTAAGCGCAACGATCCACAATTGGAATCGGAGCCAAGGTCACGGGTTTGACCCCGACAACAGCATGTTGCGCAGTTGAGGCTAGCAGGTGCTGGGGGAGATTGTTGGGCCACGTGTATGCGGTGCCAGCAATCTGCCAGCCTGCCAGTGCAATCGAACCGCGTTGCGCTTCGCTTGTGCTATAAAGGGGGAGGATCGTGCTACGATATCAGCGATTGCTTTTAGTGTAGCAGTAAACGCAACGATCCACACCCTTTACTGCTTTTAGCTATAATTTTGTGTGTCGATCTATGGTGGCTGATGTCAAATTCTTTTGGGGTTTAAATTTTGGATGTTTTTGTTGTATGGTTATCACATAAACATATTTTTTTTGTGTAAACAGAATATTATTTTTCAAATTCTAAAAAAAAAGTAAACATATGTTATCATTCTTTCAATCTTCTAGAAGGAGAGAATCTGCACAGTATTCCCGCTCAAAAACATCACATCAACAGGTCGGGTCTTCAACAGATCGGGTCTTGAAAGCCTTGTTGACAGATTATTAAATGTTGTGTTATTCGAAATGCAATTCTGGGTCGGGTTATTGTTTTTTACAGCTTCTGTGGCCTAAAATTGTTTAGCATTAAATGCAATGCCCAATACCCAAGAAAGCATTGTGTGAGGCTCAATAAAAAGGACGTCTAATGTGGTCTGCACCAATCACAATGGTAAAGAGACGACTAACTTTAATATTAAAAATGGGTCTGTGTCATTTCGAATTAATTAGGTTGTACTACAAAATAGAATGTCATTTCAATATCCTCATGGTTAATACGGATATGGGATTCAAATTTATATTGTGTTGTCCATTAAAATATTTTTTTTAATATTAAACTAAAGAAAACATTAAGAGCCCGTTTGGTGACCCCTTTTTTCGGTTTATCAGGCTTATCAGCCAGTTTTTTCACCAAACACTTAACTTTTGATTTCGCGCGTTGAATTTTGTAATAAGCTGAAAAAGTAAGGTTAGAGTTACGTTTATGGCAGTATTGGCTGAAGTTACTGTAGAGGATCATTTTTGCTATTTTTTCATATTTATTTTTTGTTTAATTTATTAATAACAAATATTTTAAACATAATTTTTTCATAAATCAGCAAAATCAGCCAATACAGCCACTTCAGCCAGAACATCATAAATTTCAGTAGAATCAACCAATTCAGCCAATTTTAGTGTTACCAAACGGGCTCTAAATGATTTGTACTACTGAGTTGATGGTGGCCGAAAGTTGTAATAGACATCAATTGCAGAACAATTGTCCTTTAAAAGATGTGTTGTTATATTGTAGGTCTATGGTACGAATTTGTGTGTAATACAACATGTATTAACCATTGATTAATTTACTCTCATTGGTAAAGAACTTCATCTATTGTTCTATAAATACTTCCCGAGTTCAACATTTCATTTCATCTCAAGACAATTAATAGCAGTGGATGACAGTCAATACAACAAGGTGTTTTTGATGATGAAGAGGTATAACATATCTTTTCAAAACTCTTTCAAATGCATTTCAATGTGCAAGATTAATAGTGCTCATCTAAGGTTAACAAGTATATTTAAATACATTTACAAGGAGGGATTTTGCTTCAGAGAAAATGGCACAAGTTGGAATGCAGGTCAAAAAAAGAACGGGTAATACATCTTTGGAGTGTTTAGGCTGTTTTGTATACAAAAAGATAAAAAAGTTCTTATATACTTTCTCCGTCCAATAAAATTCTTCTCACTTTCCTTTTTGGACCGTCCCAAAAAATTCTTCCCACTTACCATTTTTGGACAATTTGTGTGGTTCACATTCATTTCACCTTTTTCTTACACAACTACAACCACACATTTCCACTTTATTCCACTTTCTTAATATCCGTGCCAAGTCAAACTGGGAAGAATTTTCTGGGACGAAGGGAGTAAATCTTTATTATCATTGAAGGATTCAAGTATTTAAGCAGCAACATTTGTTCAAATGACCTGTTAATTAATGATTGGATTTTTTTTGTGCAGGTTACCTATTTTCTAAAAACTAGGAATGCCACAACAAGCATCCAAAACAAAAGGATTATTTGAAACCTGGATGATTTATGATGAATAAGATGCTTGAATAAGAAAATGTCAATTACAATATGACAAAATGTTTTGCTCGGAAGTTCATAGCTTACAGTAAAGCTATAAAAGAAAGCATATTTGAAAATGGCTTTTTACTTACCAAAGCTTTGATTAAAGGCATTATATTGACGAGCTACTTACCAAAGCTCATTGGCCAACTTTGTCATACATTGTTGACTGATACATAACACAGAAGCACATATCTTGACACGTTTCTTTTTTTTCTTTTTATAAAAATCATCACTATTAGAAGCATGCATTTAAACAAGTCAGGAAAAATCAAATACACATATATTATAAAGTAATACATAGTTATTTTTAAGTATGCACATCAAATGAAAACTTGGTAGAGAGAGCAATAAAAAACAATATTGTTTAGTTAGGAACTAAACAACATTGGAGTCTAGATTATAAGAATAACTAATGAAAAACTGATATAGCTTTTAAATAAAAAGGTAATGAGAAACATAAATAGCTATTTTTATCGTTGTTTAGATTATAAAAATAACCAATGAAGAAACTGATATAGCTTCTAAATAAAATGGTAATGAGAAATATAAATAGCTATTTTATAGCTTCCCAATAATAACAACCTATATGAAACTGAAATTATTTAAACCATAGTGTAATAGCAATAGCTAATGACAAACTGAAAAAACCTTAAAACATGTAATAATAAAAGGCTAAATATGAAAGAAAATCCAACTAAGGAGAATCACTTTTGCTGCCTGATAAAGATATTATAAAAAGGATATTTTCTACTGAAAATAGCTGTAAAGAGGACAGTTTCAAAGGAAAATAGTTGGTTTTGTTGTAGTGAGAATTATTCGTAGAGTTTCATTACCGAAAGCCCCTATAAATAGGGATAGAGTAGGGTTTACAAGTACGGGCCAATAGACCCATAATACATCATTTACATAGAAAGACCCTAATACATATTCTATCTAAACGATAGCACACAACATATGATTTCCTTCAACACTCCTCCTTGTGCTGAGTTGTAGATAGAATGTTGTATGTGTCTTATTGCCTCTTCAAAACTCTGTCAAGTAACAAAAACCCTGTGGGGAAAAATAACCTTGACTGGAGAAAAAGGAGTATACATCAAGATAGACTTCTTTCATTAAGTCTATCTTTATTTGATCTTTGCTTTGATCATTAAAATTTATATGTATTGTTATCTCATTAAAAACCTTACTAAGTAACAAAACTCAGTGGGAAAAAATAAAACTTGGGTAAAGGAAAAGAGTGTAACGTACTCTAGTTGGGGTACTTCCCCTCAAGTCTACATCTACCCTTAATGTTTACATTAATCAAGAGTGTTTGTAAAATATGTGCATTTCAATACTTGTCACATTAATTACCTTAGCGAAGGCACACAATAGAGGAATATAATTCCTTTAATTCTCCCCCTGTGTGTCGAGCGTAGGGAATTTTCCCAAATTATTAACTTGTGAAGACGTTGCCAATGAACAAAACCCAATGGGAAAAAAATAAACATCGGTCAAAGTGAAAAGGAAGTATGGTGCACTTATACCTACGCGTCAATTACTTTTGACTGCAATATAGTAATTATGTTCTTTCTTCAACATTGTTTTACTTTCGCAAAATTAAAATGTGGGATAATGCATATTATGTTGTCTCATTAAAAAAACTTTACCAAGTAACAAAACCCAATGGGAAAAAATAAACCTTGGTCAAAAAGGGAAAAGAAAAAGAGTACAACGCACCAATATAACTGATGATAAATAAGTATGTAAGGACTCCCCCTGAATGCAACACATCAATAAGAATTCAATATGTACTTGATATATACTTTTATCAAGGTATTCCGTATATAACATCTTGGTTTCTTTCATGGTAAATATATACTCATTTAAGAAAGTATCAATGAGGTAAGGGGATATCCATCATCGGTAAAACTCAAATCATGTTACTTTGTGTTAGAGTGATACTTTTGACATTTCCAATTCCTTTAGAAATATTATTATCATCAATCATTTACTTAATTTATAAGGGATGACACCAATGGTTTCATATAGATATTAAGGTACATTCTTGATACAATTTCAATGGTGATATACGATGTATTGGTCCTGAGCTATTTTCAGCTAATACGTTATTGAGAATGTATTATTTGATCAAATGTGTTTGTCAAAGTACAATCATGCGCATATTGCACTTTCATAGGGAATTCCTTCTCCCAATAATTTTCCAATAATGAATATATTTTCTAGCATCCATATTTCGACCAATCATGGGAGTGCTAACAGTTTAATTTATCCATGTTAATTTGCCTGAGAACCATTTTGGATAAATGCAACTGGTGAATTATTATTCAACCAACTCGGTGTTTTCAAAACAACCCGAGTTTCCCAAGATCCTTTATCTCAGTTATGACTTTCAAGTATCTAGGATTTCTCATTTTCTTTAATATGAGTACATACCATGTCTATATCTTCGACATATAATGATACTTTGAGGGAAAGCATAATCTATTTTTCTCTATCTCTTTTCAGTCAAGTGGTCACTTAGATGGGTATGTCACCCTCGTCTGGATTGATTTAATCCAAATGTGAACGTTTCAATGTAAATATACAATGTAATTTAAAACCACTTGATTAAAGATAATAAAAACATAACAAATACTTCATAAATTCTATTGAGACATTTAATATCCACAATCTTTAGTTGCGTCTCCATTACTTTGGAGTCTACTTATAGATTAAGTAGTTGAACATTTTTGTGTTCAAAATAGAGAAGTATAACTTTTCATATTTGAATTCAGGGCATTGTGAGAATAATTAGGACCTCATTATCTCAGTACGCTTTCTAACAAAGAATTATTTCATGTCCTACACAGGCTTTACATTTGGTTGATTAGCACTATCATACCAAATACATGTCTCTTTGTCAAATATTAAATTTTATATCTGGATTACTTGTACGCATTTAGGCCAATATTATTATTGCTTTCATATTGCAATAGAGTATGGTTCGATATCATCGTGCTCTATGCTCCTTTGAGCAACTATATAAATATATCGCCAGTATAAGTGTAAAGTCTATCATTCGACTCATACACACTCTCATTAACATTGAGATTTTAATTCTCTGAAATCATTTAAACTTCGGGGCATCCCCCATTATTAATTCATGGACATATTTAGTCAGAGATAATCTCGAGAGCGGACTTCATATGATGACGAGTATATTGGTTTGTGCCTTATCTATCCTCTACTACTTGGGGTGGATAATTAATCGAACCATGTGGCTTCCCTCTATTCCTTTAGAGAGCCACGACCTCAACCACAATCCCACTGCTTGTGATTGCAATGCTTCTTCCTTTAGCATTGTGTCTTTTAATTTAAATTCAAGCCTTATAAATATGTTTGCAGCTAGTGTGTATGATCTGATTACTTAAATCATTTATGATAATTGATAAACACTTTAACTTCAATGTTACATTTTGAAGTCCAATATTTATAAATGAGACAAAGTAGGGATGTACTATCGTAATGATTTTGCCATTCAATTAGAGAGTTCTTTCTCTAATCTTCCCTAATGACAGGAAAATCAATTGTCTCATCAAAGTCATATCCCGCAAAGCGGTGCACACATTATCTGTTAAGGCTAATATCGGGTTATTGTTGGAGATTCATATTCATTACAAAATCATTTGTTTCTTAAGACCAATTATAGTGTACTGTGGGAGGCGCACTGGGCACAATTAGTTAACAACCATATATAATGAATATGTAGAACATCTCTGGCTAAGATCCAATTACTAATTTTGTATATATAAATACGCTTGTCTACTATCGGTCTAAAAAACAAATGTGTAAGAGTGCTTGCAATATTGCATAATCCAATAATACACACACACACACACACACACACACACACACACACATATATATATATATATATATATATATGTATATATATATATAGGGTAAGGATCAAATGAGAATACCATCTTAGGAGAGAAATGAGAATGATTCTGGAGCGTTGGATTTGAGCATTGTGCATCATGTAAAACGGAAATGTGCATATAAAAAATTGGAAAATGTGCATTTCGTCTGTGCAGAATTTTAAACGTAAATGTGCAGATTAGAATTTTGCATTACTTTAACTGTAAATGTGCAGCTTTGTGAAGTATAAAGTGCATCGTTTTGGAGCGTTCTCATTTCTCACATTAAGGAGTGTTCTCACTGGAACCGCACCCTATATATATATATATATATATATATATATATATATATATATATATATATATATATATATATATATATATATATTAGTGCGCGCATAATAGATATAATATTCACCATCAACATTCTTTTAGATGTGAGTTTTACTAATATCTTATTTTTCACATGGGATGCAAGATATTTTTCAATAATCTCGACAAATATGCAATGCTCACAAGTACTTTAGATGAGAACTGTCTAGTAGTAACAAGACATAGTCTTGATTGGTCGGGTGGTGGGCCCTTGAATAATTTTTGCTAGAAGTTTTGCAAACGCAACATTTTTATGTAACACAAACATAAATAGCATGGGGAAATTTCTACCAAACCATAATTACTTAAATGGCCCGCATTTTGGTAGGCAAGTTCTCACATGTTACATTGATCTGAGGAAAACGAGATATCTTTATTGTTATATCCCTAGCATAGACAAGTCTCGATTCCATTATTACTAAGGAATAAACTTTATGAAATAACTGATGTGCCTTCTATTGTATCTGTAATTGTTGGTCCCTGTATTTATATGCTATAGAAATATAAAATGAAGCTTAAAGATGGTGAATGAAACCTTTCCTTAGAGAAGAAGAAGTTTACAGAATGATAGGGAAAAGGTAGCGTAAAACTTCTCTACCTCTAGGCTCTCTGCGCAAGTGTAGAATTTCAGGAAAGGCTTAACATTCCATTCCCTTTAAGGCAATATTTATATGCCTAGGGAATGAGTTGATGTAACCTAGGTGTGATTGGGCTCCTTTATTGAGGTGGCCCAAATCCACACAATACAAGGCTTTTCCTAATATAGCTAGTCTAATAAATATATTAACTAGACTAAATACAACACAAATACACAATAATTAAAACATGATTTAACACCATAAAATATCTCTAATAATCCCCCCCCCCTTGGTGTTCAATCTTGTTTACTCAGCATTGCAACGCAAGTATCTTTGTGTTTGTGTTGCTTCAGCAATGTAGAGAAGAGCATAGATGAGATTTGTTGAGTTGCTCCTCTTTTGTCTTGATCTTGAGTGCAGTTCAGCTTCTATTGTCTTCTTGGAAAGGCTTTATGAAAAAATCTCTAGCAATCTCCCCCTTGGTGTGATTCTTGAGAGTTTGACATTTGATGTCGGGGGTTGAGAGATTCCTCAAAATCTTGCTCATAATCCTTGCCTTCCAAAAGTTTGTCTTGATCAGCAGGAATGAAATCCATTGATGCCTCTAGAGTGAATGTTCTTGAATAGTTTGAGGCGCACACGAGATTCAACTTTAGTATTTGATCATCCGACCCCTGTATCCTCCAGGATGTAGCCTTTTTGGATTTTCTGATGTGAATAATTTTGAGGAACAGTTGTCGGTGGCACAACAGAAAATGATGGTTGAATTTTGAGCATAGCTGACCATTTGATTTGAAGCTGATTGGGCAGTTCACGAACTTGAGAGAGTAGAGACCCGTCATCATATTTTTGGCTGGAGGAGAGAAGTGTCCGAGAATGATTTTTGAGAGTAAACAGCATGTGGACCACTCTCCCTCTCATGACGATCCAGTGAATATGGATGTCATGCCTTTATTCTTTTATTCTGGAAAATAAAACAATGCGGAAAAGAAAATGATAAGATAAGCACCGGAGACATTGTGGTGTTCCGTTATCACAACATCAATGTAAACACTAATGTGTAGCATGTATATAATAATAGAGACGTTACAGCTCTAACAGGACTTCCAACCAATCATCGTGAGGCATCTAATGTAGATGTCACTATGGTTGTTCTGGTGGATCGTGAGGCCCAACAACTGACTCTAAAAATGTGTCTGTGTCCTAGAAATTTCAAAACATTTAGGAGTGAGTTATCTAGACATGAAGTGATCAATGAAAGTTCAGTGGTGTGGGGATAAGGGCCACTGTAGTCAGTGTTACTCGCCTCAGAAGGAGATAGTAATGAGAGATGAGGTTCCACGTGAAATGTGATTAAACACCTATCTGTTGGGAGACAGATAAGTGGTCTAGGGTAGGTTTGTGCACGCGCCGTTTGGATAAAATGCAATGACTTCTACCCGGGATCTGATTAAATCAGTCCTGAATCAATGGGGATTGTCCAGAGTATTTGAGTGACTGGGAGTAAATTTTTGTTTGATAGTGCGATAGAGGTAGCAGACTTATCACTGATAGTTTTTCTCTTTCTCACTTGAGCTTTCTGCTTCCTCACTCTCATAATGTTCACTCACTCTCGGTTTTGTCCCATGGGTAGGCTTAATTGGGTTTGATAAGCCATTGAGACTTATCTCTCATTGATCTTTGTTTATTTTCTCTTTGTGCTCCCCCTCAACTAGAGGACTCGGTATGCTTTGTCATTGTTTGGCATCGGGGAGGAGACAATTGAAACCCCCCCCCCTAAAAATTTGCATCCTTGAGAGGAACCTTGCATTTATCTGTATTTCATATTGCTCAACCTCCGGTCTGATATCATCCCATTCTGTCCATTCTTCGTTCCATGATAATCTCTTGTAATTGATCGTGGATGGATGGGTTTGATGTTCAGAGGGAGCCTATTGCTTTGGTGATATGTGAGGGGTAGAACCGGGATCACTACGATTTCCCATTGTCATCAGTCTAGAACTAGGTTCTTCCTGATGGCCTGAATAGAATGGTGTACTCAAAGTATCAACCTCAGGACTTCCACTCCATCCTTGGTCAATATCTCTGAGAGATATACCTCGGAGTGTTTTGTCTAGCTCGACCATGCTAGAGATATGTAGGTTTGCGGCTTGGCTGTTAGGTTGAGTGGAGGATGGGGGCTGGTTGTTTGAGGATTCAGGTTGAGATTGTTGTAGGGGTTGTTGGCTAGTTGATGCTCCATGCTCGAGTGACTGCTGCCTCTTGTTCTCCCCCTCACGAGGATCTGAATCATCGGGCTCCTCATGTGAACGTTTGCGACTACGGAGACTGTCACGACATGTGATATCGGTTTCTAAGAATACTCGAAGAAGGGCTTGTTGTCTAGGGGTTCGGTTGCCTTCTTCGGTTGCTAGAATTCTGGCTAGCATAATAGATTCGAGTTCCTCGAAATGAATAGTATAAGGGTTAGGGTGAGGTGTGGTCGTTGTAGGGGAGGACACGCGTTCTGTATCCTGGGTTCCCCTTGAAGTGGTAGGTGTTGGGGGTTGTGTGGTTGAGGGTTCAGATGTTTGTAGGGTAAGTATGGGGGTAAGTTGTTGTTCAAAGTGGGAGGTGGATGGTTGTGGTTGGATAGTATCATTCTGGAGCGCCTGGGTGTTCATGAATTCCTGTGCCCGAGCGGTTATTGCTTCGTGCACCAAGGGTTTGATGGTGGAATCTATGAAACGCTGCAGAATGACAGAAAGGTCGGTGGGTTCGGGCTGTCCGGTTATAGGGGTAGTAACCGTTGTCACGTCATCAGTAAAGATTACCGAAGTGTGGCCTGCAGATAATGATTGAGTTATCTGTTGAGCAGGAGGACTTCCGATCATCATTGACGTATCTCCGATCGTTGTTGACAGGTAAAGTGGACCTGTTGAGTGCAGTGGTGTGAGAAGTGTAGGTGTCCTAGAAAAAATTGAAAATGTAGGGAGTGTGACACCTAGACTCATCGTGTTAGAAGGAGGGGTAGTGGTCCGGGGCGATAGACCACTATATAAATCCTCAACTACGTCGTAAGAAGGCAGGGAGGTGGGTGTAGTATCCCCTATTTGTGAAAGTACTACATGTTGGGAGGCAGCAGAGTGGCTAGGTGGGGTTTGTGCATGCGCAGTTGGGCTAGATCCTGCGTCTTCTACCCGGAAACTGAAAATATCAGTCTCTGCTCCTATGGGGTTAGCCCGGTTTATTTCTTCTAGATCGGAACAGCTATCAAACAAGGCCATTTCTTCTGCAATATTGCTGGCCGTTTGCACTCTTTGCATAGGAATGGATGATGAGGAGAGGTTATCATGACGTACCTTAGAGCGAGTCTCACTGATGGTTTGTCCTTCAGTGTTTTTGATCTGGCGAGACTCCTCTTTGTTTGTAGCCCTAGAAAGCCTGATAATGAGTCGTCCTTTCTGTACAGGGGCTTTCTTGGCTTTGCGTGCGTTGTCGTTCGCATCATCGTCATCCTCATCACCTTCATCATTGTCGCTCTCATCAGCCTTGCTCCCAGAGCTCTCATCATCAGCGTCTATTGTTCTGGCTACGCTTGATGAATCATGGGTAGTCTCTTCAGCATGGGTGTGGCCCTCAGCAAACAAAGTCTGATCATCATGGGGCCGACTTGCCACTGGTCTCTGTGGCTGGGTTGAACTCTTAGGACCCTAACTTACTCTCGGCTGACTCCCTGAGGTAGGCTCAGGGGGGTTTATCTGAGCCATAGGGAGTATGAGATCATGCTCTTGGCAGTAGCGTCGGACAGATGGATCATTCAGATCAGCTAACTGCAACAGAGACTCTGGTAGCGGAAGGGACACCAGTTTTGGATCCTCAGTGACCTTCTGTAGGTATTTGAGGGTTGGTATGGCGGCGTTCTTAATGGATAATCTTCTGGTGATTGTTGGAGTTGTTCTGCTAAAACGTTGCACCAGCATCGAAAACCATCTTATGTATGGCAGATTTTTGATCAGGTTGATCTCTTTCCTCTTTCGTATCAACTCTGTGATGTCATCCCAGATCAGCGAGACGTAGTAGTAGTTTTTGCAGAATGCCACGCCGTGGAAGATGGTCAAAAGGTAGATATTGCACTTGTCGAAATCAGTGTGCTTGGCAGTAAAGCACTTATTCAGTGTAGACATCAGAGTCTTCTGTGGCCGTGGTATTCTTCTAGGTTTGATCTGGGAGATGAGCTTGATTGGTTGTGCATGGACCAGTGTGATCATGTCCTCCATGATATCTTCCTCAGTGGCCAGCTTGTCATAGTTATCCTCTTCTGGGATTTGTAACACCTGGTGCATCAGCTCTTTTGTGATTGTGACCTTTGTGTCGTCAATTTTGGCGGTCAGCACGTCATCAATCTCGTTGCCATCATCATTAGTATCCTTGTCAAGTGTTCCCCAAAAATTGTTGGAGATACACTTCAGGAACTTTCGTTGATTCGCTTAAGGCCTTCCACAGTTTGTGGCCTTTCAGAATGGTGATGATCACTTCATCTTGGCATGAGAACACGTCTGGGTCCAGCTTCAAATTGTTCTCCTTGATGGGGTACCAATTCTGGATCTCGTAGATGGTCTTGATTGCTGCTAGTTCTGCCATGGCATCCTTGCATTGATCCTTGATTGGCGCCAGGAGGAGAAAAATTTAACTCCCCCTCAGAATGTGCAAGGTTTTGTTTGTCACCCGGGGAGTAAAGTAGAAAACTCCCCCTTGATATGTGCTTTCTTCGTTGTAAGGAATCAGGAGGAGTGGAAAAGAAACACCCCCCTCAGAATAAGCACTTGTTGTTTCTTCTTGGCATGTGTTGGTGTTGAGGTGTCCATTTGTTGATTTTCTACTCAGTGGGGTAGTATACACGCCAATACTCCCCTTAATAATGTGCATCGGTTGATTTCTCTCAGCTCTTCTTACCTGCCATGTGTGTGGAGCAATCGGATCAGGTACCACACATGACGGGCCTGCAAAACAGATTAAATACGTTTTGGTACCCACCTCATCAAGATGGGTCCTTCCTTATCAATGTTAAAGAAATGTTTCAGCTTTTGTTTAATTTGGGAACCTAGGCTAGCTGATTGAGAAGAACTTGTCATTTTTAATTTTTCAGCTTCAACCTTAGGAACCCATTTTTGTTTGAATTTAGGAGAGAGGGAGGCTTCGATAATGGTGAGTGAATGTTCAGATATGTGATTCTTTAAAATTGTTTCTTATGACAGCCTTCAAAGATGTTTGAGTGAGTGGACTTTGAGGGGATATCTTAAAAATGATAATTTATACTCACCCTCAACAGTCACTTTTTCAGAAGATGGCTTCTTTTGGCGTATCTGAACATTCACATTCTTTTCAGGGGTAGAAGAGAAATTAGACTCAAAGTAGCAACATTTCATTAACTTAACACAATTCAGAGAATAACAACCAGAGTAGCGATTCTTAACAGATGTCTCAGAAAAAGGACACTTAGGAGCAGGTCTTCTAGCATAACTAGTCGAAGGTTCGCTTAGGAATGTCCTAGGAACAACACTCCTAGTATGACTAGTAGACAGCTCACTAATGCTGGATTTAGACTTATTTTTGGCATAAAACAAAGCACTCGATCGTTGGTCCTTTTTTCTTAGAAAAGATTCTTCTTCTGTCTTCCTTCTTCTTAACTTCTCCTCGATCCACTCGCCTCTCTTCTCTACTCGCTTTTTCACGAGGTTCACAGTTGGTGAATGAGACTCGGAGTGAGTGGAAGAAGTTTTAAAATTATTTGTTGACTTTTCAAGACAATTTTTCGAGGAAGAAGAGGAAGAGGGTTGAGAAACTGTGTGAGATTGAGAGGACATTTTCAAAGAGGATATTTCTTTAAGAAATTGATCTCTTTCCTTTTCTAAAACATGTTTTTCTTTATCAAAGGATTCTTTTAACTCAGCAAACTTCCTCATGAGAGGTGGGATGTAGGTT